TTTCTTTTCTTTTTTATCCGTCCACCATTGTTCTTTCTTTTCTTTTCTATCTATCCATCCGTCCACCTCTTTTTTTACACTCTTCTATGCTTTGTCCTTATCTAGGATTGCATCTTCAAGAATATAGCATATCAGAATATAATGGGCTTCCTTTTTCTATCTTACTGGCTATATAGGACTTTTAAAATATGTTGAAACCAGTTTCTGTGGTCCTGCTCTTCTTGTTCCACTAATTCATTAAACATACACTGTGCTGGACAAGTCCACCTGATTTAAAATGAATACATACACATTCCACCCCCAAATGTAAATATCTTCTACATACTAGATCATGTTATATCAATGCAAAAATTGTTGGGTGGCATCATTGTACTGGGGTTACACAGAATAAAGTTCTCTTTAGCAGATATTTAAAGGTGAAATGTCATTGCATCTGCAACTTATATTCAAGTGGTTAAAGAAAATCATACAAATATATATACCACATTTGATTCAAAACATGTACATACACAGAGCATGATGCAAGCATGGCAAAAATGCTAATAACCAATATGTCTAGAAGAAGGATTAACAGGTGTTCATATTACTGTTTTCCTAAGGGTTTGACATTTTCAAAATAAAAAGATGGGGTAATAAAGGAACTTCCACAAAGGTCCCCTCATTTACTACCCTAAAACATACAACTGTCCCTTCTGGACTCCCAGGCCTATGTCCTAACCAAACCCAATCCCACCACTTCTACTCTCCCCCAAAAGAGAATTAAAACAAATTCTTTAGCTATTCTTCTCAAATCGCTCAAATGTTGTGGCTTCTTAGGGTCTTCTCCTACGGCTCAAGTCCTTCTCCCTTCTCTCTCCTTGTCTAGTCGTTCTTTGGGGACACTCAGACATTTACTGCATCTCTTCATGGCCTAAGCACTGAGAACCCAGCAAGAGAGTAAGTACCCAGAGGAAGAAGCTCTGGATGAAGAATTCTTTTGTAATCCCTACAGCACCCAGTTCAAAAAGCGTTTATTGAAATAATAGGTTTTTTCAAACAAAGAAGGGCATGGGAACTACTGGTAAGCAATGAGAGAAAGGTCTCGAAGCTCAGTCTTTTTAGAAAATCTTCTCCAGTCTCATCTTTTTCTCCAACACGTTAAACTCATCTTTCCTAACCTTCCAGACTGCCATGACTGTCCACTCCCTGACACAATGACAGATTATCCTAGTAAGAATGGAAAAACCTGTTTCACAATCCCAAATAAAGCAACCCTAGAAGTGAGAATAGCCAATTCTCTTACATTTTATTTATATGACGTTACTCAACACAGTAATACACTGTCAACAATTTGCAGGAAAAAAAAAGTACCTCTCAGTCATCTGTCTATGGAATATTCCTGCATGGCACTCTTCCACCAGTTTGAAACTAAGGGAGACCAGCCTCTGAATGTGTGTCTACTTTGGTTAATCAAGAGGCAGCTATCATGTCAACTAAGACAACAAGCTGTGTCTAACAACAATACATTTTGGAAAAGTTAATTCACTAATAAGATACAATACAAAGGATACCTACTAAAAAATTAGAACGCTTCTTGAAATAAGACTCAAGTTGAAATTTTACAAATGTAAAACAGGAAAATTCTAAATCTATTTCATTTTTCTCACCTGAGTACAAATCACAAGCTTGGAAGAGAGCCTGTAGTTCAAGCCTCCAAAAAGTGAAGGTCCAGAGAGGTTAAAACCCCTGATTCAAACACCCCACCACTAGCAAATTCAAGTCAAGCCAGGTTTAGAACTCACATACTCTTTTCAGGCTTCTCTGCCCATGGTGACCTCTCAATTTCAGAAATTAACTTTATGAAAAAAAAAAAAAAAAAACCGTTCTGTCTGAAAAAAGTAGCGGGGACAAAGAAGGGGAAAAACTTAACTGTAGTCAGCCATGCCACTAACCAGGTGTGTAAAATTAAGTAAACTATCTCATCTACAGAATAAGGAGACTGAGTCCAATTAGCTCTGAAGCCCTGGAGAGTTAGACAGAATACACTCTGATTCGAGAGAGTGGCGCAAGTAATAGCTGTGTATTTAACACAAATTTGACTCAGTCACATTTTTTATACCAAATTAGTTACAGCTTAGGCAATTTAAAAACATTATTGTTAACTCAAACCACACCTTTTTTTAATCAAAATTTTCATAAATACAAAGAATCTCAAAATTCATTATCTACTATTACCTACATTTTGGTAGGACGTCCTTTAGCACAAAATTTAAACTTCAATCTGAAACCTATTTGAATGCCTATTTAAATATCCCAAAGAGTTTGGAAAGTTATACATCTCACAGTTATTTTCCATTCAGCATGGCATCCGCTATAGAAACATACTCACATCTTTAGAAATAGAAATATTCAGAAATAGTCTGCACCGGCATCTTGTCAGAGGAAAGCCTGCCTTTGGCTCTGGGCTGCCATTCAGTCAGGCTAACAAGAATGCCTGTGGGAACTGTCAGTTGTTACTGGGCTACCCATACCAGGAACGGGAAAGGCAAAAGGAGAAGGAAAAAAACAGAAGAAACAGGAAACAACCCAAGAGTGGGCGGGGGAAAGGAAGGCAATCAAGAGAGTTACAGAACACAGAAAAACAGAAAGGCAGGAGAATAAGCAAGAGGAATGGCCTGTCAGTACCCCAGCATCCACAAGCCTTCCGACAGGCTGCAGACACCTTGAAGTGTTCCTGTTTGTTTTTCTTTTGTTCAGTTCTGGACAGAAAGTTTGTGCAGAGAGGACATGTTTACTTGTGCCTGCTCTTAGACTCCGTGTCAAGGATGAGGATTCCAACATATGAACGGTAACACAGAAGGAGCTCCGATCCAAAATACACTAGACTGTTTACCGGGAATGTCCAGGACCTGACATGCTCCTAATGACTCATCTTTCCAGAGTGTGGATCTCTTAACTCCACAAGAGCACCGTGATCCAAAAAGATGTTTTAGCAAGTACTATGTATATTTATACAAATGCAATTCAGTGGTTTCAAACAACTGGTGCTGTCCAAAGAAAACAAGGAAATACAGTCCTCTAAAGGAGGGCATTTCCAGTCAGATCCTCAGGATGCCACTGCGGTCGACCCTCAACCACTGGGCCCCTTCCTCAGCAAAGCGGCTGAAACCTCAGACACAGAAGGAGCCCGGGATCTCATGCCATCATCACGTCCCCCACACACGAGCAAATGCTCTACAGCTATTATTAGTCATGGTTTCTTCCACAGATGATCACTTTAAAAATCATTTTAAAGCCAATCTGTTGCTGGAAATATTTCTGTTTTTTAGAATTGTAAATGATCTCCTATTACTGAAAAAAATATGTGTCTTGAAAATATCCTGCAGCTGATATGAAAATGACTAAATAGGGTACTGATACACTAAACCTATGAAGTCCTTGTTCTAAAATGCTAGTTAGGTGTTAACAAAGACATACGTGAGGCACGGAACAAATGCCTCTGTTCAGAAAATTAATAGCAGGAGGAATCTTCATTTTGAACCCTTTAAAAGTGGGAGCAAACAAGGATTTTGATAACTTTTTCATGAAAACAGGAGAAGTCTGCAAGCACAGTAACTTCATCAGTTAACTAAAAGGCATAAAACAGGTAACAGATTTCAAAGATAAAATCTAAAGAAAGGCTATGAATGGCATTTTATTTAAAAACACTTTTCACTTGTTATCAGGTACCTGGATTTTTAGGCAATGAGCACGAAGACTGAAAAGTCATCACAAATTCTATTGGGGCAGAGCCTATAAAAAAAGATATTACACAATTTTTAAAAGATAAAAAATAGAAAAAGCTGAAGGGGTATTACTGACACAAAGACAAAGCCGATGAGGTAAGTGTTGCCAGTATAACTAGCAAAGATTAATCTATGGAAACATAAAAAAGCAAAAAATGGTAATTATAGACTTTTACAAAATGGACAATAGGTGCCATGAATGTATGCTACATCAATATAAAAACAGAAAGCACACAGTTGTCAATGACAATGAACAGATAAGAAGCCTGATGTAGTTGTGAATATTATGAAAAGATTCAGTACTAACAAAAAGTGAAAGTCACTCAGCCATGTCCGACTCTCTGTGACTGTATAGTCCATGGGATTCTCCAGGCCAGAATACTGGAGTGGGTAGCCTTTCCCTTCTCCAGGAGATCTTCCCAACTCAGGAATCGAACCAGAGTCTCCTGCATTGCCGGGATTCTTTACCAGCTGAGCCAGCAGGGAAGCCCAAGAATACTGGAGTGGGCAGCCTATCCCTTCGCCAGCAGATCTTCCGAGCCCAGGAATCGAACCGGGGTCTCCTGCATTGCAGGCAGATTCTTTACCAACTTTTAATGAGTTGTACAATAGCTAATAGAAATATTAAGCAAGTTCCCTAGTAGTCCAAATATCGCCCAGTGTTTCTATCATGGAGATGAAAGCAGCAGAAGATTTCAGCTAGGGCCAAAAACTTTTCCACAGTGGAGTGTTTGGGTTCAATTAATTTTCAGGTCTTCTGACTTAGATGCTTGTATGTCTGGAAAGTATGGAAAAGCGTGCCCTTGAGACCCCTCCCTAACTCCTGAAGTAAAGAGGGCCAAACACACTGCACACAGACTAATTCAAGGAGTCCTGGACTGCCTGATGGTTGAACTCAGAAGCAACACCCTACAAGGAGGCCAGTCTTGATTAACAGGGCTTCCCTTGTGGTTCAGCTAGTAAAGAATCCGCCTACCATGCGGGAGACCTGGGTTCAATCCCTGGGTTGGGGAGATTCCCCTGGAGAAGGGAAAGGCTACCCACTCTAGTACTCTGGCCTAGAGAATTCCATGGACTGTACAGTCCATGGGGTCGCAAAGAATCACACAACTGAGCAACTTTCACTAAGATAAAGTACTCCTATGAGGGTTCACAGTCCTAATACAATGTGAAAAAACTCAATCACAGCACTTTAAGGCCAGAAACACGTTACTCCACCAAGCCCTCATTTTACAGGTGAGCAGCCTGTGGCACAGACTTGGGACACTTGGAAGGTTCTGTGTGAGTGGGAACTAGAAGCCAGTGGAAAGAATACAGAGCCTCAAGCACAGCATCCAAAGAGGCAGGTACCCACTGATCATTATTAGGCATTAACACTATTCCAACCTCAATACTGGAGAAGGAAATGGCAACCCACTCCAGTACTCTTGCCTAGAGAATCCCGTGGACAGAGGAGCCTGGTGGGCTGCTGTCTAAGGGTTGCACAGAGTAGGACACGACTGCAGCGACTTAGCATGCATGCACTGGAGAAGGAAATGGCAGCCCACGCCAGTATTCTTGCCTGAGAATCCCAGGGATAGAGGAGCCTGGTGGGCTGCCATCTACGGGGTCACACAGAGTCGGACGTAACTGAAGCGATTTAACAGTGACAGCAGCAACCTCGATACTCGTTCCACCAAACTTAAATAAGATCAGTCACAGAACAGAAAAGAGAACTAGAAGGAAAATGAAGGAAGATGTGGAGGTAGTATCATAAAGGACATCCACAGGGGGCTTTGGCTGACCAGAAGCCAGCCGCCTGGCTGTCAGAGAAACAGAATTGTCAGGAGCTGGAAGACAGGACCCTCAAGTGGTGTGGAAGGACAATGACGGATACTGCCAAGAGCTAGTGTGTGAAGTGCGTTCACTCTCTAAAGCACAGGAAGCTTTTCAAAGGTACTGAGGGTGGAGGTGGGGAAGCGGGGACAAACTCTAAGAAAGATGAAGGGTGGGATCACACAGCAGCACCTTCCTCTCCTCTGGTTGCTCAATGAAAACTGGCCCATGGGCACTCTTGTCAGGAAGATTGCCAAGCCCAGCCTCAAACTGTCCAGTCTAAAGAATCCAAAACTATCTCACAGATTTTGTTACAAAGATTCTATCAGATATTTCAGTCTAGAAATGTCTGCAGATCTGAGTAGCAAATCACATGGAATTCTTTTCAAAGTTAAGGTAGTATCCATGAAATACAGTCTGAAACCAATTATATGGATGCTAAATCAACTCTTTAAGATTTAATGTTCAACCGCTGTATAAAGGAAATTAGAAAATAAAAGAATTTCGAGATAAAATTTAAAACTGGTAGATGTGAAAAGCAAGGGAGACTTCGTGGCCTCAGCCCAGCTCTGCTGACTCTGCTACACAAATGATTTGTTTCCTAATCCATAAAACACACCCGTAATAAGCACTGCATGTGCCTTCCAGGAATTTGATTTAAACTAGTTAACGATCATAAAGCAATCTAAAAGTGTAAGCACTGCATGAATTCTCGGCATAACTTTGGAAAGGCATTTGATGTAAGTAATAGCATCTGGTGATTAATTTGAAGGATTCACCGGAAATGAAAACTCATTAATTTATTTTTCTAACAAAAGAAGCCTGTGCTATTAACTAGTCTTGACATACCTACAAACAGGTTTAGAACATTTAAAATGTTTAGAAACCTTTCATTTTTATCCTCCCATTCCTTACCCTTCACCTGTTTCTTTTCTATTTCCTTGCTTTCAGATAAGACTGTGTGCGCGCAAAGTCGCTTCAGTTGTATGGAATGTAGCCTGCCAGGCTACTTTGTCCATGGGGATTCTCCAGGTAAGAATACTGGAGTGAGTTGCCATTCCCTCCTCCAAATCTTCCCAACCCAGGGATCGAACCCAGGTCTCCTACATTACAGGGAGATTCCTCTGTCCAGGAGCCTGGGATTTCCCAGGCAAGAATACTGAAGTAGGTTGCCATTTCCTCCTCCAGGGGATCTTCCTGATTCAGGGAGCGAACCCTTAGGTCTCTTAGGTCTCCTGCATTGGCAAGCAAGTTCTTTACCACTAGTGCCACCTGGGAATTCCCCCCAAATCTTACTATGCTTTCTTTTCCAATAAATTCATTCATATTAAAATGCATTGTCTCCATTTCTAAAATACATCTACAATTACCTGCATTTTCCTCTTCTCACAATGATCATTGTTACTTCACCTAAACTACTAAAACAGCCTCCGAGCTGGTCTCCCTGCCCACTGTCAATCCATTTCTCAGGGACAGCAGCTTGAATGATCTTTTTCAAATAAATCATGTCATATCTCTGAAAATAAAAATAAATAAAATAAAATGCATTGTCAAATCTTACTTCTGGTCACCTCAACCTTGAGTCCATCTGACTCTTGGCACTCAGGAGTCTAATCTGGAATGCTTCCACAGCACCACCTGTTAGACTGCCCTGGCATCTCCATGAAGCAAGCCCTCCTCCTAAGTCCACCCCCTCTTTCACCTCCTCCCCCTCACCCCAGCCTGGCAAAATAAACATATACTCTGGGTAAGAACAGTGTGGTTGCTCTGCAAGAACTGCTTTAAGAAGTCTCCTGGTATCTCCAGTGCGCTCCTAGAGATTCCCGCCTCAAAGCCCCTTCACTGGGCAACTCCAGAGCCTCCACTGTTCCCCAAAGTCCGCAAAATAGGGAATGGCCAGGCCCTGGCTTCTTTATCCCTAAATCTCCATGGGTACCTCATTCCTATAACCAGGAGTCTCCCACAAGGCAGCTACCTTCAGAGGACGATCCCCATTTTAACATTATCAGAACCCATTATGGACCCATAGACTGCTTTTAATTAAGAAAAGACCTACATCTCAAAAAAATAAAACAGAACACACTTATTTAATGAGTTCTGACAATTACCTAATGTGCTACATCTTGCCCTATAGATGTGTATTAAGAGGCACTTGGTTAGACTTGATACCCAAACATTCAGGTTAAGGGAGCAGCAAGCAGTTTTGTCATTTAATAGCATCAGTAACATTTCAATATATTTTACCTCGAGACTTCTACGATTGGGTAAGAACTCCAATCAGAGTTTTAACAGACTCTGAATTTTCGCAAACTATATGGGATTCTGAAGTAACTCTCATAAAAAATTAACTTAATGCATTTAAAATGTTGAAACCTCAGTTTTCCATATAGCAATCTTTAAATAAAATAATGTTGCAGAAATCAAAGGGTAGGTGTTACAACTTGAAGAGGGGAACAGGCATAGAATCATGGAACTTTAGAAGAGATGACCAAATCCAGTGGTTCTCAAAACTTAATCCTTCGACCAGCAACATCAACATCACCTGGGAACTTGTAAGAAATGCAGACTATTAGGCCTACCCTAGACCTAATGAGTCAGAAACTCTGAAGTAGGGTCCCTCAATCTGAGTTTTAACAATCCCTCAATGACATCTACATACACTAAAGTTCAAGAACCACTGACACAATCCCACCACTCCACTGAAGAGAAAAGAAATGAGGCTAGCAACTTCCTTCAATTCTTATACCAAGTGAGTGACCAAGGTCACTGAAGAAAATTCTCAATAAATCTTCAAAACGATTCTTAAGCTATGACATCTACATCCAAGTAGTCACATAAGATCTTCTAAGCTGACCAGGTCTTGATCTACTGCAAGTGTAATTCTTGTATAATTGCTATAAAACCTGTGGTGGTGGTGGTTTAGTTGCAAAGTTGTGTCAGAATCTCTGCGACCCCATGGACTGTAGCCCGCCATGCTCCTCTGTCTATGGAGTTCTTCTCCAGGCAAGAACACTGGAGTAGGTTGCCATTTCCTTCTCCAGGGGAGCTTTCCCAACCAGGGATTGAACCTGGGTCTCCTGCATTGCAGGCAGATTCTTTACTAACTGAGCCAATACTTAGGCAGTCATGAATTTTTTTGTCATGAACAATTCACATTTAATACCTAAAAAAAAAAAAAAAGATTTCACATTATTGACCTGTCCATAAAAGCAACAACTCAAATCTCATAGGCTTTCTTGTTTATTTGGTCGGGTGGGTTAACTTTTATTACTGACAGCAGCAGCGGGTTTTGTCTTGCAGTCACTGTGTTTTGGTTCAGGTTTGAGGGGAACAGCAGGAATTTATGGGGACTCATGGCTGATGGTTTGTTTTTGATTTGGGGGCTCCCCACCATTACCACCAAAGATGTTCACACACCACCAAAGGCATTTGAAAAACAGTCATAAACAACTAAGAGACCAGAAACTGCTAAAAAATCCTCCTCAAAAAACTTCATATTTTATCTTGGAATGTAGCATATGATTTTCCTTAGACAACAGATTTCTGTTTTCAATTATATTTTACTTACCCTGGTTTAAAATTAGTTTTCAGGCTTTCCTGGTGGCTCAGTGGTAAAGAATCCGCCTGCCAATGTGGGAGACCTGGGTTTGATCCCTGCTCTGGGAAGATCCCACATGCCAAGGAGTAACTCAGTCCACCCCCCAGCCCCCACACCACAACTGCTGAGCCTGTGCTCTAGAGCCCACGAGCCACAATTACAGAGGCCCTGAGCCCGAGAGCCCTGAGCCAGAGACGCCACAGGGATGAGAAGCTACAGCGATGAGAAGCCCGTGCACCACACTAGAGACTAGCCCCCACTTGCTGCAACCAGAGAAAAGCCTGTGCAGCAACAAAGACCGAGCACACCCAAAAATAAATAAATACATTTTAAAAAAAAAGTTTTCATGTGTGCAACACATAGCAGCAGAATGACAGGAGGCTAGTCTGTGTCTCCTAGGAAAGAGGACAGGGCTATAATCCAGCCACGCGGAAGACCACGAGCTAGGTAAGTCTGACGCACAGCACCAAGAGCAGACTGCATCGTCTTCTGCAAGTACCAGACCACATGTGGGGCTGCATCACCAACCCACCAACACAGCATCAACCATGTGAAAGGAGCGCTATGATTTCAGCCTTCGGGCTCCCGCTCTAAACAGATGTTTGATGTATCTCATACCTTTTTATATAAATATTTTAAAATCTGGTAGTGGTTATCTGCACAACTAAACATCTGTTTCTATTTACATTTTAAAATATTTTCTTTTGAGAAGTTTATAACTTGGGTGTTAGGATTATCACAGACTGAGATTTAGAGGTTTAAGAGAGAAACGTTTCCATTCCTGTTTCTCACACAGAAGCTGTTTTCTCAATGTCATGCCATACGAGAGATATTTTCAGTCCTCTTTTCAGACTCTATTAACATCTATAATTACCTTCGATTTCACAAACCATATTTCCTAACTAACATGGCTCAGTGCATGACTAATTCTTTGAGGAAGAATCACAGAACAAGTGTGCACAGCAATAGAAACAACTACCTCAATTTGACTTACACGTCCAACCCTCTCCCTGTGACCTGAGCACCAAAGCTTTTTGTGACTTTATTTTTCAATCTGTCCTCAAATAGGGGTAACAATTCTTGCTATGTATCCTGCTACAGGAAAAGGAATCAAAGTCACTAGACTAAGGGTAATGTCCTTGGAGAGACCACATTCATTCCTTGGAAGAACTGTAAATTACAGTGCAGTCACTGAGTCTCGGCCTCCTCTTTAGCTCCACAACATACCCTCTGAGGCTAAATTCAGGGTATTAAACTATTTGAACGTTCTTCCATTCACCAAATGTTTCTGAGCACTTGCCCTGTGTCAGGTACCATACAAGGACACTGGGGATATAATGGCCAGCAAGACAAACATAGCTCCTGCTCTTCACAATACATCTAAGGAAAGCTCATGGGACTTCCAATCAGTTTATACACCAAGGATTCAAATCTATTTGATGTTCTAAATAATTACTCGAAGCCATAATGACCCATAATCACTCCACTCTGCTCCTGAAAATAGAAGACCACAGGAACTCCATGAAAAGTCCACAGAACACAGACAGATGCTCGACAATATGAAGGCCTCACACACGTTAAAAATATCCTGGAAACACCTTATGATCTATGAATGGGAAGCACAGTGTTATGCACTATAAAATGAATCAAGATTTTTCTTTTAAAGACAGAATACTGTAAGTTAATGTTGACCTATCAAACACTAGACTCAAAGGTAAGCAAATCCTCTGTAACTGTCCAATGCAGCAGCCACCATCCACTTGTGGCTATTTTTAAATCAATGAGAACTTTAGTTCTGTGCCACACTAGCCACACTGAAAGTGGCTCACTAGCCTCAAGTGCTTAGTGGCTATCACTTCTAAGTCATTATAAACGTATCATCATAAATCATTCCTATCATTCTGGAAAGCTCTATGGGACAGTGCTACTCTACAAACTCTGTAATACTAAATCTGAAAGTTACAGTGTAATGAAATGTGATGATGCATCTGTACTCTGCCATAATACATAGAAGTCTGTTCATCAATAATATAGTGCCATTTCTTCCTTCCTAAGGAAGTTGAAAAATGGTAATATTGAACATCTCTCCCAGAGCTCACAAGTAACCACTTGGCAAATTGAGAATGAAATTGGGAAACAAGTGAAAAGCTGATTACATTTAGTCCTGTCCTTACTACTCCTTTTACTGGAATATGTTGGTGGTACCCTGTATTCTATGTTCAAAGATGCATGGTTTCAGCCTAGCAGCAGAAGTGAGGATGGTAAAGAATGAAGATGAGTGATCAACCCAAATAATGCAACTCAAATTCAATTTAGACTGACGTAATAAACTTGGGTGCCTGCAGTGTGCCAGTGGTACACAAATAAACACCACTTCAACCTTTTATAAGGTGAATTCAGTACAGGTGTCCAACGTATAAACAAAAACAATATATGTTGTGGAAAACTGCACTGAGACACATCTGTGCAAGGAATGGAGGTGACACGGCAGGATGTTTCCAAATACCTTTCAGGAAGAAATTGGGGCTTCTCCGGTGACTCAGACAATCATCTGTCTGCAATGTGGGAGACCTGCGTTCAACCCCTGGGTCAGAAAAGTCCCCTGGAGAAGGGAATGGCTACCCACTCCCCTATTCTTACCTGGAAAATTCCATGAACAGAAGAGCCTGGCAGGCTCCAGTTCAGAGGGTCGCAAAGAGTCAGAGATGACTGAGTGACTAATATTTTCACTTTCATGAGAAATTAAGAGTAAAGTCCTAAAGGAGGTACCCTAGAAGCAGAAGACAGAGCTGTTCACAGGAACTACAAGTGGTTTGACAACTCTGGATTAAAGTATCTTTGGTGGTCAACAGGGATGAGGATGACAAGGGAGGGAGCGAGATGGGGTTAGAGAGCTATTTCCATGCCAAAAATAGCTTACACTCAGTTATATCAGGCTTGCCCTAGTGGTATGTCTGTCTATAAGCTTCCCTAACCAAAACTGCAAGCCACATGAAAACCAGTCTCCGAAACTCGCTAAGTAATTTGCCTACATCTGCCATACAGCTAAGTGTTAGTAAGCAATCATTAGTAGGAATATGAAGACATTTCTTTGTGACGCAGTACCACTTAATAATGTGTATTGGGTCACAAAAACATTGTAATTAGAACCCTCTGTTTTTAAGGATAAAATCTCTATTGTCTGTGAGTTTTACTTCTAATATCCTTAGAGAATATATCAAGGAACACATTTTCAAAACAAATAGATTACTCCCACATCTAAATATTCCCACTAAGAGTTTATCTGACAGAGGAAAATGAAATAAATAAGAGAGAGAAGGGGATGCAGAAACAACACTTCTGTACTCCAGACCAGAGTGTTTTTTTTTTCCTCCTAAATTTTCAAGGCAAAGCTTCTGCTACTCCGTATACTACCTTGCACGTTCTGCTACAACCAGCCAAGGACCAACAAAATTATATCGTGTCCAACAACCTAAAGGACTTCTGTGAATGCTTGTGTAAATCCTGGGAAATTATCTGCATCTTCTAGACTCTTCACTTCACTTTACACGTATGTTCAAGTCTCAAAACAACTTCCACAGAATCAGTTCTCTCCAAGTTACTGGGATCCCCTCTTCAAAGAAACTTGGGGAAAATGTTAGCCTATATAGGTCTCAACAAATTCACCAGGTGATTCTTCTCCCTTTCATACAAACAAAAATTTGCAAATAAAAATACATATATATTTCGATAAATTGGCTGATCTTTAGGCAAAAACAAAACTATTTCTATTCGCACAAACACATGCCATTTAGGTAAAGGTAGATTTCCAAAGTAACATAGGTAATGACTGAAAGACTGGGTTTTGGAATCAGCTTGCCTGGGTTCTAGTTATGGATCGTCACTGACCAACTCTTACTTAACCTCCTGACCTTCCACTCCGTCACCTGTAAAATGTGGGTAACAACGTTTCATCAAGAACGTCAGGGAATGTCAGCACATAGCTGCTCGCCTCTACTGACATATCAACACCTGTTGGCTATTTCAGCTATTTCGTCTCTAAAGATGGATGGTTTCACAGCTATCTATTCCAGCCAGCTAGAGTTCTGTAACCTCTCAACCTTTCTCGTTCATCAAAAACACTTACGGAAGTTTAAATACACACACACACACACACACACACACACACGTTCAGCCCTAGTCTATAACCTCTCAACCTTTCTCGTTCATCAAAAATACTTACGGAGGTTTAAACACACACACACACACACACACACACACACACACGTTCAGCCCTAGTCTACGTTCAGCCCTAGTCTATAACCTCTCAACCTTTCTCGTTCATCAAAAACACTTACGGAGGTTTACACACACACACACACACACACACACACACACACACACACACGTTCAGCCCTATTTGGGTTTGGGTTTACTGGTCTAGGATTGGGCCGGGCATCAGAATTCTTTCTAAATCGCTCCAGTTACTTACAACGTGCAGTCTAGATTAAGAGCCACAGATAGGTCTCTATATGCCCACTCACGCCTGTAGTCGGTTGATTCCCAACTGAAACAGCGCAGGCGGGCCCCCAGCCCGGATGGAGCAGGCTTGCCTGGATGCTGCGACGACGAACTCCAAAGTACGGTGGGATTTACACCCACGCCCGCACACCGCTCACGAGGACCAACTCCCACGAACTCCACCAGGTGGGGCCTGGACACCCGGCGCGGTCGGGATGTGTCCGGGGCACACGCCCCCTCGCCCCTTCGGCGATAGCAGCCCGCGGACGCCCGGCCCTCCGGACGCGTGCGTCACCGCGCCCCAGCCCCCTCCCGCCCCCGGCACGTGACTCGACACGCGCCAGCTGCACGCGGGCTCCATCAAAACAAAAACAGAGAGGGCCGGCCGGCCGGCCTGGCGGCGGGGAGCGCGCGGGGGCGGCGGGCGCGCCCCCGCTGCCGCTGCCCGGCGCCGCGGCCGCGCCTTCGCTACCCCGAGCGCCGCCAAGGCCGCGCGCCCCGACCGGCCGGGGGCGGGAGGGCAGAGGGCACCACCCTGTTTACAGCCCTCGCTCCGGGCCGGGGACCCCGCCCGGAAACGGTCTCCTGGGAAAGGGCCCTGGAGTGCGCACCCACCCGCGGCCCGGACGTCGGCGTGGCGTGGGAGGTTCGGGCCGCCGCTCGGAATAAAGCCGCGTCGCCACGGAGCTGGGGCCCCGGGCCCGCGCGAGTCTCCGCTCCTCCTCGGCGCGCCGCCCACGGCTGCTTCGTGTCAGCCCCCGTCACGACTCTGCTACGCACTTCACCCCCCAGCTCTCGGCTCCGGCGCTTCCGCAGACCCTCCTCACGTGGCCGCCTCCTCCCGGCCCCTTATACTCCCCGGCGACCGGGCTGCAGACCCTCCTGCACTTCGGGACCCCGCGCTGTTCCTACCCCGGGGAGGGGGTATATCGCCCGTCTCGGACCCCCCCCCCATCTTCCGCCGCGGGAGGGAGGGTAGGGTGGCCATGAGCTGTCAGAAACCCAGTTTTCCACATGACGAACCTCATCTTCACCCTTACACATCCCTTCTCCCCCTTCAGCCTAGCTTCGAGATGAATCAGATACTTAAAGCGGGGTGGGGAGGGGTTGTCTTCATTTTTCTCCCTAGTCGGGGAAAAAAAAAAAAAGACGCAGCTCTCCGATCCGCTCGCTTTTTAAGACTCCCCACGTCGTCCCATCAAATGCAACTTAGAAAATAGAAATGCCCACCACACACCTGCTACGCCACCCACCGTATCGGAACCTGGAGACCCACCCAGCCCGCCTTCTGGAACCTGCGCCTGGGGTGGGGTGGGAGCGGTGCCGTCCGGTTCCCTAAAGTAAGAGGGAGTGAGAGGGGGATCAGGCACCCCCCTAGCCCCGCCCAAGAGCGCGATCCTCCGGTCCCCCAACTCGAGAGCGCAGCAGGGCATCCTCCGTCCCTCCCAGTGGAACGAGGAAGGTAGCCAACGGCCTGGGTGCCCGGGGGTGCTGTTTTTCCCCTTTAGAACGCAGACGCCGCGTCCTCTGTGAGCACCCCACCCCCGTCGCCTGATTTCTGGTGGTCAGCAAAGGTGGGGTGGGGGGGGGGAAGACGGGACCAAGTACTCTGGCGGTTCCGGGATGTGAGTCTCCGCGGAGTGAAGAGGTGGAATCTCGAAATGGAAACAGTCTTCCCCCCCCCCTCCCCTCCTCCTCCTCCTCCTCTGTTTACCTCAAGTTTGAATTTTATCTGCGCAACATTAGCTGGAATGCGGACATTGAAAAAAAAAAAAAACCACACACACACACACACACACTCTCAACCCGGCAGCAGCTCCGGAGGAGCCATGTGGCATCAAGCCACCTCAAAGGGGAAAAAAGTGCTCTTAGCAACACAAACATGGCGAAATCGCCTCGGCATTCCCGGCTAACGCTACCACCCGTACCTTTCCTCGCCCGGCTCGCCAACATCCTGGCCGGGACCTGCGGGCCCTTCCGGGGGGAGGCGAGGGGCCCCCGGGGAGTCCCAGGGTGGGACCGCGGGGCGTGCGAAAGAGGAAATAACCAGAGTCCACAGTGCAAATGTTTCTGCTGGACCATCAAGCCCGCCGCCTCGCAGCAGTGAGGGGATGCCTCTTTTCATCTCGAGAGGTCCAAACGGAGAACAAAATTCCCATCCCGAAGTCCTGCTGGGCCGGCTTTCCCCACCCTCAAGAACTTACCTTGGGGCTGAACACACGCTGCTGCTTTAATCCCTTTCTCTTTCCTTCCTCCGGACGAGACGCAAGGGGGAAAACGATGCGCATGTATATTTGTAGAGCACAGTCTTCTAGAATTCCTCTTTGATCATCAGGAGGAGCGATGGAGGCTCCGGAGACAGGTGCAGTGCTGGCCGAGGCTGCCGGCTAAAAGTTGTTCTCTTGGTTGTGGGCGGCGGGGGTCCCCTCGGCCGGGGCTGGGGACCAGGTCTCCCTTCCCCCCCGCCGGCGTCGCCCACTTCCCGCGGGGAGCTGCTGCGTGCGGCTCGGCTGCAGGGGAGGTGGCGTAGTTTCTCTTCCTCCCACCTCTTCTCACTCACTTGTTTTTGTAGCCGTGGGCTCCCCTAATGCTTTCCTCTCCACAATGTTGTTTCATTATATCATGTCCATCATGTGACACCGGAGAGGCCTCTCTATGGAAACTTAAAGGGCCTCCCACGTGACTGCAGCAGCAACAACAGCAGCGGTAGAACTGGCGGCGGCGGCCGCAGCCTTTCGTACCACCACCACCACCCACCGAGAGCCCCTCGCAGCATCCCGGAGGGGCTCCTGGCGCTGCAGAAGCCCAGATGAGCGAGCCACAGCATCCGGGAGCTGTGGCGTCTGTGCGTGCGTGTAGCCTTTGCTCATTACATAGGAAACAGAACAGAAGGAGCGTCCTTAAATCCTTTCCTACAGTCACAAAACCCACGCTCTGTTAAGATGACATTTCGTGGCTCCTACTTTATTTTCCCCTAGAGCAATGAGTTTTCTATCAGGTCTGATTAAATTTTACCGAGGCAAAAAGAAGAACCAGACTTGTCCCTCCGCGAGTTCAGCCAGTTCTTGGGTGGCTCAGAAATGACAAAACAATAATAACAGAAATAGAATCAGGCATTTGATACATAATTACCATCGTACCAGCTTTAAAGCTTTTCTGGAATCAACATTCCTCCGGTAACTGTGTTGATGATGCTTGCAGGAGGCAAATGCAATGCAGTTTTTTCTCTTCCGCAGCTATATTAGGACTTTGTTGCTGACAACAGTAAAAACTTGTTTGTGTCAGGAAGTGAGGTACGACGATATGACCTGCAAGGTACAGACAAAACCAAAGTGGCAGCTTTTGCATTACTTTTCTGACCACATTCTCTCAAATAGAAGCAGCTGATCTGCTGTAAAATGCGTAGTGTGTTTGGTGGGAAATCAAATAATCAGAAAAACACATTTTTCCCTTAATCATAGTGGATGTGCTAGACGCTAGGAATTACCTATATATAGTTTGTATACAGAGAAAAAGTCTGTGCCTTTATATGATATTTTGAACCAATAACTTTGTCATCATTTCTAGCATTTAACTGAAGCATTTAACAGACACTTTGAAAGACTTAAGTCCAGTTATGTGTGAATCCATAACATCAGTTTTTAGAGCCTTCCGTGTTATTGAATCACAACCCGCAATCCTAAATCTCTGCCTTAAAGATTGTGTGGATCATAGGATTTTATCCTGTAAATCCAAGCTAAACGGCTCTTGTGATGTTTTAGTTCATGCTTTTCAATTTATAAGGAAAACTCCCTGTTGGATTGGCAGCATTATGAAAAACTTCATAGGAAACTGAAGAGTGGGGCGGAAGATCATGTTTTCTTTGCCTTGACTGTATCTCTTTCCATCTCATCAGTTTCCCTCTGATTATCAGCCATGATGCATGATCTCCACTACATCTCTTCTGATTCCTTAATATGTCCCTCAATATTTACCTTACTATCTAACGCCTAATTCTTCCATCCCTTTCCCCTTTCCTGCTTTTGCCTCCCAATTCACCCTGTGCCGCCTAGATATTTAGCTCAGGCCCCCCCAAAGTCTCCCTCCCAGTCCTCCTTCCAAAGCAGGTCCCCTCCCCTTCCCAGCTCGGTCTCCCTTCTCTGCAACTCTACCTCCTTACCTTTCTTTGACCTCCTTTATTCTCCTTCACAGTCTGGCCCTCGACTTCTCGGCCTCTTCTTTCCCTTCTATGACCTGCCTCAATTGGGGTCTCCTTCACACCCTTCTCTTTGGTCCCATCCCTTCTGACGCCGAACCCCCAGCTTTCCTCATGGGCTTGGCCTGGTCGGCTTGAGCCTGATTTTGTTCCCATGCCCCTGGGCTGGGAAAAGTGTGTGGTGCAAAGCCGGGGCAAGCATCCCCCTCGGCGGTGGCCCCTGCCTGGTTCCCCCTCCGCCCCTCCCGAGTCCCGGTTGCGGCGCTTCCTGGGCGGATGGTTGGGACTTGCTGCGGCAGCTGCGGTTCTGCTGTGTCATGCAAGAAGGAGGCGGCGGCGGCGGCCGGAGCTGGAGGGGGAGGAGGGGAGGAACCTGATCTCTCCGGTAGCGAAGGGCTGGAGGCAAACACCGAGTTCCCCCAGAGCCGCCCGGGAGCAGGGAGGGCTCCGCCACCCCGGGGGGCCCTCCCCGCGGGGCAGATGGTAAGTGGGGCGGCGCAGGTGGTCGCCTTGGGAAGGGAGCGCGCAGGGGGTTAGGCGGGGAGGCGGGGAGAACTAGGAATCACCCTGGCCAAACTGAAGGAGCCCAGTGTCCAGCTGAAAGGGACCCAGGCCACAATAAGGATGACCAGTGGCAAGAGGTACCGTTCGAATAACGCCCCGCAGGTGACCCAGGCTACACAGAGGAGTAGTGCATCCTGAACCAAGGACCGAGCTGGAGGCATGATTCAGAGTCAGAAAACCATCATCCCATCAGCCCTGGCGCTTTAGGGTACAGCTGAGTAGCAGAAGTCGACATACACTCTATTCCTATAGCCTGGCTGAGCTTTATGGGTTGTCTTGTTTAAAACTAGGAAAGGGTATGGAAACCTGCCCAACCTCACTTTAGCCACAGACATAATGCTCTTGGCCAGTGGCCTTGGACAAACAGCCTCTGGTGCAATTAAACAATCAATAGGAAAAATAGCTTCTTTCCCTTCACCACCCTCCTTTCCCAAGCAGCTTCAACCAGAGTAATTTATTCTGTTTAAAGGAGAAAGAAAACTATGCCTTTCGGTTTCCCTCCCACCTTACCCTCTGTCAGCCTCAGTCCTACTACACAAACTGCCCACCCCAGTTTCAGACTATGATTTATATTCGATGAGGGGACTGTCTTAAAGTCTGAAGAATTTTCACCTCTGCTGCCCTTTACTGGGAGGGGATTCAGAAACGTAGAACTAAAAGCAGTGAACATGGGGACATGGGGACAGGCTGGGCATGTAGGAAAATTGCTTCTTTTACCTGAGTGCAGTTCTCAGGACAACTTAACATAAACACACACATATATATTATATATATGTATATATATTATTCCTGTGCATTTTGCTCCTGGAAATCAAAGCACTTTCTGCAACATCATTTTTTTTTTAAATGTCAGTCATACATTAACAGTAAGGGGTTGGCAGGATTAACTGAAAGGCTAATGACTGTCTCAGAAGTACATGCTGTTGCTAGGGAACTCAAGCTCGTCCTGCTTTCTGATCACTCGTATGTTACGTGGAAATCAAACTTCTCAGGGTGGTATTAAAATGAATGGCATTTGGTTAAAGGAGTTCTCGCTTGTGTTGTAGCATCCTGAATTATTATCAACTCCCTCACACCCACATATCTTGTTTTCCTAATTTGATTTCTGTATGTGCGTCACTACCAGGGACATGCAGACTAGACCAGTCAGGTTCACTTCCTGTTTCTCAGAACTGGTTTATATTTGGTCTCGTAGCTTTAGCTGGTAAAATATTATCAAACTGATACTCTTGGAAAGAAATCTGTGCTTGCCGTGAAAACCAATTATCCCAATTAAATTCTAATTCCCAGAGAAAATGTCATAATTTGAGGAATAAGGTATACTGCCAGTTGCCATTTGAGAAAACCATTTTTGAAATGTAAAGCCTAGAAAAACCCATCATCTTTATTTCTTTTGCCCAGAATCTTCATTCCTCAGCATTAGAACTAAAACAAACTCAATTTGAGGGGAGGTTTAAGTATGATATTTCTAAAATAAAGCTCAAAAAATACACACTGGAGCTGGGGAAATCATTTAGACTAAATAAGGCATAGAACTGAATAGAATCCAGGCCCCAGAAGTACAAATAAGCTTGGGTTAGCGTTGGGGCACTCAGAGAACAGAGTGTGATTACAAGGCTACAGTACAAATAGAAGCCCATCTCTTTGTACTAATTGTCTCTTTTACCAATTCTCCTATATCCCTGGATAAGACAGCCTTGCTTAGTTTTCAGTTCCTTCCTCTTTATAACAAGGATATCAAAAAAGGCAATATCATAAAGATAAGCACTATGTAAATAGTTAGATAGGTTCTGATATAGATAATTTGTTTGGATGGAAGATAATAGGGTATATATGTCATTGAGGAGAGACCAGCCAACTGAAAGGTAGGAAATTTTAATAGGCTGGATGACTTTGGGTGAGCGCTACAAGTCTTCTCCTGTCCATTTCCTCATGAAAGCTAAACAGAAGTGCTGGGCTACAGAATCTTTAAGATTCTTTCTATTTACAGAACTCTGTGTTGTACTGAACTCACTACATAAAAATTTCAATTTCAGCTGAATTTTGCAATGTTAAATTTTGGCACTGAAATTTTAATACCTATCCATAGAAACCTTGGAAGAAATTATAATGGGAAAGAGTATGCTGTTGACACATCACTTTATAGTGTCAGTTGCCAGACAAATAAAATTTACCTGACTCCCAATGTACTTAACTCTGCTTACTTTCAGGTGTTGTAGAAGGAACAGGATGAAAGGTAGAAAGGATGTAAAAGTGTAGCAAAAGATCATTCAATTTAGATTTATTTAACCCAAAGTACTTTGATGAGCAGAATGGTGGAATGATGAATAAAGGCTATTAAAGAAATACATGATTAACTGAACTCTCATGGAGTTAGTTATCTATTTGCCTGTATTTTAATTAGTTACAGGCAAAAATATACCTAGATTTTTTAATTTTCAGGCTCAAGATGTTATGAAGTAGCATGAAGAAATGTGAGATTTGTGCCAGACAGAGAAGATCTGACTTTGAAACCCAACTCTTCCACTTTCTTTATTCATTATTGAGTGCCTGCTATGTGTCAGGTACCGTGCTAGGCACTGGGAATACAAAGATGAATAACATAGCCTCCTCTGAAGGATCTTGTAGTTTAATGAGGAGACAGATAAGTACAAAATTGATCACACAATACTAGGATGTTCGCAACACGGGAGCTCATTGGAAAGGTACATACTTAACCTTCACTGGGCATAGTCACAGTCCCTAACCATAGAGAATGAATTTAGAGAGTAGATCTGAAGCATAAGTAGAATAATCCAGACAAGTGGGCAACTCAAAGAGAAATGTAGACCAGGCAAAGAAAGTATTATGTGTAAAGTCCTGAGGGTGAGAAGGTGTGCCCATAGAGTTGAAGGTGAAGGACAGAGCCCAGCAAGTAATAGATTCTGTCTTGTATGAATGCATTAGCAGAACCCAGAAAGATCAGCAAAGTCTTGTATTATGAAAAGTCTTATATATCCTCCTAATAAGTTTCAACTTACCCTAAAGCCAGTGGAGAACTACTGATGAGTTTTAAGGAGCATAGTGAGGTGATCAAATGTCCATTTTATAAAGTTCACTCCAGTTTGGAGA